TAAGTGACCCTAGGCACTGGGTGGAGGACCCAGGAAAGAATACAAGAGAAGTAAGGGAAAGCCAGTTTAGAAGCATATATCAGAATGGTTAGTACTGCAGGCAAGTGTGTTTCACCCTTTCCCTCTTGGCTCAGGCTGGCTTTCTGAAGTTCCAGGTAAAAACACGTTGGCTCCTCTACCCCCTGTCCACTGTCTCCTTCTATGTGGCATGGATTCTCTTATACTTCCAGGCATAGTTTGCATGTGGGCCAGCTGGCTGTGCTGGTTCACACTGGCAACAGAGAGAAAGAAGCCCTAGGGTAGAGTGCAAGAGAAAGAAAGTAGAGCTGGGGAAAAAGGGCTGTCTGGCTACAGCTGGACATGGGTGGGGTATAGTAATGGTTATAACTATTAGATAGCCTGAATCAACATAAGAAATGGCATTAAAGCCTTGAGTGGAGCACATACATTTAATCCCAGAATTCTGAAGACAGAGACAGACTGATCTCTATGAGTTGGAGGTCAGCCTGGTCTGCATAGTGAGTTCCAGGCCAGCCAAGTGTGGTGGTATTTTGTTTATGGTCTAACAAAGTTTGCCTGAAGATCAGAGTGTGGAGCTAGCCACTAGTTAGTCATAGAGTCCAGGCAGTGGTGGCATACACCTTTAATCCCAGCAGATGCAGACAGAGGAATTTAATGGATCTCATGACCACGATGATGATTGTGTAGGAGAGGTAATTTCTAGAGGTTTGAAGAAAAATCAAAATGTCAAGTGTTTAGATTGTGGCAAATAAAGTCACCTTTAAAGGGATTATAAATAGGGTATTCCTAAGCATAATTCAAACAGAATGCCCCTTCCTTCTGGATTATGCAGAAGGTATGGCAAAGGCAGACATTGAACTAATGAATGTAGATCAACAAGGGACAGTTAAGGCAATACTTTGCCATCAGGAAACTCCTTGAGGGGCCTCTCAGAGGTCCCCACATTAAATTCAGTTCAGTCATTTCTTGTAACCATGGAGGAAACTCCTTCCCAGAGCAATTAAAGAACCTAATTCCTATTGTAAAAAAAAAAAAAAAAGAACAAAACAAAACAAAACAAAAAAACATACTACTCTGGTTGATAAAACAGCTATAGAAGAGAGAACAAAAAATTCATAAGAAACCTGAATTTTCTATAAATGAACAAAGACCAAAATTTAAAATATGAATAAATGATGTTGTCATTAAAGGTCTTGTAGACACAGGTGTGATCTACAGAAAATTAGACCCCAAGAGCTATAAATTAGGAGAGATTGATTGCTGACTCTTAATGACTTTCAAAGATTGCTAGGAGGCATTTCCTATCTAAGGCCCACTATTGGAATAGAAAAAAATGAACTGAGTAATGTGTTCAAAACCTTAGATGGTGACAAGGAATTAAATAATCCAAGAGAATTATCAGTTGAAGCTGAGAGAGAATTGGCTTTGGTGGAAAATTACAGGATGCTTAGGTGGATCATTTGGATCCAGAGATTGATTGTATTTTGGTTATTTTATCCTCTAAGCATTGTTATACAGGAATATTAGTGCAAAGGGATATTATCTTAGAATGGAACTTTTTACCACATAAACAGATTAAAAAAATAAAATAAAAACTTATGGGGAAAAAAATCTCTGAATTAGTTCTAAAAGGAAAATTGAGGCTTTGTCAATTAGCAGGAATAGACCCCACAGAAATTGTACCTTTTGCTAGTGGTGAAATTGACAAATTATGAGCAGAAAATGAACTTTGGCAAAGAGCTTGCAGTAATGTTTTTGGGAGAGATTAACAGCAAATATTCCAAAAGCAAGATAATTCAACTTATAAAGAGAACTAACTGGATTCTTCCTTGTATTGTACAGGGAACACCAATACTGGAGTCCCCACATACTATAATGTTGCAAATGAATCAAGAAAGGCAGGTTACAAATCAGGAAATTTGAGTAGAGGAGATCAAAGTCCTTATGACTTTGTTCAAAAGTCAGAGTTATATTCTGTTCTCATGATGTTAATGGATCATAAAGAACCTCTCAACATATTTACTGATTTACAATATGCAGAAAGAGTTGTTTTGCATATTGAAACTGCTGAATTTATCCCAGATAATACAGAATTGACTTTATTATTATTCATTTCCAATAAATATAAATATAATATAAATGTATATTTATATTACATCTGACCCCATATGGGTCTTCCAGGCCTCTAGCACAAGGAAATGATGAAATTGATCAACTATTGATAGGAAATGTGATGGAGACCTCAGAATTTCATAAAAGACATGATGTCAATAGCAAAGGTTTGAAAAAAGACTTTTCCATCACTTGGCAACAAGCCAAAGGAATTATAAGAACTTTGCGATCAGCCTTTGCGACCCCCCATGCCTAGCTAGCCGCCAGCTAGCCTAGCATCCCACCCCTCAGGTTCCGGGACCTGGCTTGAGAAGCAACTAACACCTATTCCTTCCCCCACTTTCTTAGTTAGTGCTTGAGATAAACACAGGAGATTCCAGATACCTGCCTGAGAGCAATTAACATTCATTCCTCCTCCCACCTCCTTTTTCTCTGCTTCCCCCTTTTTCTTTAAAAAGCCCCTTGATTTCAATAAACTGAGACCTTGACAAAGACCCTGCTTGGTCTGGCTTCTCTTTCTCGCCCATTATTTTCAGGCTTGATCCACCTCGGACCCACGAATTACTGGAGCCCCATGGGCCGAGACAGGTGGCACCCAAATGTGTGGCTCAAGGTACGGATTCTTCCCCGAACGGAGACCCCCCCCCCAAGGAAACCTCGTAGTGCACACCGACAAGGAAGTTCTGCTCGCCCGATTGCGACGGACGTTGGTCTGGGAAAAGTTCTCACCGCTCATGAGTGACTGATTCCCTGGTAAGTCCCCCCTCATTCTGTTCCATAAGGATGGGCCAAATTGTCTAAGGAAGTCAAACACTTCCTTTCGGGAAGGAGGTGTTTGATTAAAATGTAAGGACTTGATTCAGTTTTTTGCCTTTTTGTAAAAAAATGTCCATGGGTCATTTTAGAAAGCCCAGACATTCATCCCCTAACTTGGAAAAAGGTCGAAGAAGAACCTTAACAGATTGCTCATAGAAAAGGGACCTGAGGCAGTTCCCTCCCTCACAGACTTTTAGATACAGCCTTAAGCCTCATTCTCCTAAAAACCTTAAAAATTACCCTGTCTTTAGTTCAAACCCCAAACCAGAAACAGATAGTAGAACCTTGACTGCTCAAGTACAGGAGATTTTAGAGTTTAAAAGTTTTAAAAGGATCCTTCCCGCTTACAAAAGCCACTTCCATGATGCAGCATTTTGAGTTGTGCAGGGGCTTGGGAAGACATAGGTGTGGCCTCTCATACACGAAGGCCCTCGGGAGATATCTAGGAATGTAATGGAGAACAGAAACCTCCTCGTCTACTTAGGGGCAGCTGGATAGTAAAGAATATACAGGACAAATAATTGGGATCAGCAGGGAGAAACAATTAATAAGTACCAAGATGGAGAGTCTTTACCTTCTTCATTTTAAACTGGAAATACAGAAAGGAAAATATTCAATGGTAAAATTCAGCAAGAGCTAAGAGACTTGGACAAGTTCTACTTGTACTTTATACAACCAAACTCCACTATCAGCAGGAAGTAACCCAAAGGGTACTCAAAAAAATGAAATCTGACAGATGGATGTGTTTCATTTTGTAGAATTTGCAAAATTAAAATATGTACACTAAGTAGCCAGGCGTTGTTCACACATGCCTTTAATTCCAGCACTCAGTAGGCAGAGGCAGGTGGATCTCTGTGAGTTCGAGGCCAGCCTGGTCTACAGAGCGAGTGCCAAGATAGGCTCCCAAGCTACACAGAAAAAGTCTCAAAAAAAAAAAAAAAAAGGTACACTATACCATTAATATCTATTCAGTATTTCAATGGGCAACTGCTTTGATTTCTGAAAAGGCTGGTTCTATAATCACATAATTCTAATTTGTTAGAAGTGATGGACATCTGGGGGATACTTGTACAAATTAAGACTGACAATGCTCCAGCAATAATGTGTCTCTAGTAAAATGAAATAATTTTTTACTTATTACAATATAAAGCATATTACAGGTATACTGTATAATCCTACAGGGCAAACAGTTATAGAAAGATAAAATTGACCTCTAAAGGGTATGCTAAATAAACAGAAAGGTTTAATAAAGACCCCCAGAAATAGATTGCATAGTGCTTTAGTAACTTTGAATCGTCTGAAGGCTAATGAGAAAGGAACAACTGTGGAGAGACATTGGATAACAGAAAAAACTACGGAGTTAAACCAGCCGATATAAAGATGTGCTGACCTCAGAATGGAAACCAGGATATGTGTTATGTTGGGGAAGGGGTTTTGCTTTTGTTTCCATAGGAGAAGAAAAGCTATGGATACCATCAAAATTGACAAAGAAACACCTCTTGATTAGAAGAGGTGATAGTTCATGGCTGCTCATTCTAAACTAACTTTAAAAGTAACTAATGCTTTTCATTTGATCAGCTAAAACTTTCCATGATGGAACCTCCTTAAAATTAGGGGTGGGGAAGGGTTTTGTTTTTTTCTTTTCAGGAGAATGAAGGCATCCAGCTAAGGAATATGAAGACCACTAGACAAATGAGACATGTGAAGAAAAAGGACAAATCATCCTGAAATATGTCCCAAGAAAAAGAGTAAATTAGTGTATAACACCTCCAACAGGATACAATTTCATTTAAATTAGAAACAAGCCTGTTTCACATGTCAATCCCAGCTCCCTCTCCCCCCCTCCTCCCCCGCCCCCCACCAACCCCAAACTCATCCCCCTTCCACTACCCAGGGAGGGTGAGGCTCTCCATGGGGGACTGCCAAAGTCTGTCATATCATCCAGGGCATGGCCTAGGCCCTCCCCTATGTGTCCAGGCTGAGAGAGCATCCATCCACATGGAATGGGCCCACAAAGTCCATTTCTATGCCAGGGATAAATACTTATCTACAAAAATATGGAACACTTTACGAATTTGCTTGTTATCCTTGCACAGGGGCCATGCTAATCTTCTCTCTGTCATTTCAATTTTAATATATATGCTGCTGAAACAAGCACGAATTTCATAAATCTTTCCAAATATTTGTTTCTGCTTTTCTCTATACATATATAATGTAATTGGTCTATTTGTAATCCCAGTCCAATTAAAAATGAAAGCTGGCTTTGGAGTTGGAGTGTAGCTCTCTCTTTCTCTAAACCCAAGCATGATTGTTAAAGTAACATTCAAAATCTCTGTCTCATCTCATAAGAGCCACCCATATGGGACAGAAGAAAAACAAAAAATTAGGGACTATTTTATTGTCACTAATCTCATAATCCTTTGGTTTTATTTTGACTCTCTAAAGTATTATTTAAGGTATAATTATTTTCTCAAAACTTATAAGATTAATATATATATATATATATATATATATATATATATATATATATCTTTTGTCATGATATTAATGGTCATATAAAGTACTAACTAATTCTAGAAAAAGGCTTCTTTTAGCTTCCTGTACATGATCTAGGGTTTGAGTCTCTATCAGTTTTCTGCAGTGAACCATGACCATGCCTAACAACAATTTCGAAGTTTCCAAAAGAAGGATGGGGCCCCACAATGATCAGGACTATGGTAACACCACTAAGCTGAACAACACCACCTAAAGATCAGCTTTGGACTACAAATTTCTCAGGACAATTTTGAGGTGGCTAGCTGAGATGATCCAGTCTCACAGACTACTTTAGCCAGGACTTGAGACAAGTCCTGCACTTTCCCATTATACAAAGACTGGATAAAAAATGATACAGCTACCTCTCCCAGGACTTGACAATTAACCCAAATTTTTCTTTTCAGGATTCCCTAAAGATGCTGTTAACCCCAGACAGCAGGAAGTAAATTTAAGAATACAGTGCCCACATTTCCAAGAGGTGGGGTGGCTGTTTTTTGGTCATTCAATGGGTTGTGGATATTTGCCATTGTTTAATAGGATTAGTTATAAGTTGTTATTTGTAATGACCAGGAAAAAAGCTAAACAAAGGAGAATAGATTCAGTGTTCTTGTTTTGAAAGAAAAAAGGGGAATATAAATATGATAGGCTAAAAGGTAGATTATTGAATATACTGTGAAAAGAAAATAGGAAAGATATAGATATGATAAGATAAAAAGGTAGATTATTGAGTTTACTTTTAAAAGGCAGCTACTAGTTTTAAATATTTTACATTAGTATGGATCTTTGCATATTGATACAAATTTAAGATTATTTTAGTTAGAAAATACTATATATACATTTTTAATCTTATTCAAGATATTGTTTTTATTTATTTATTTATTTATTTATTTTTCTGAGACAGGGTTTCTTGTGGGTTTGGAGACTGTCCTAGAACTCTCTTGGAAGACCAGGCTGCCCTCAAACTCACAGAGATCCACCTGCCTCTGCCTCCCGAGTGCTGAGATTAAAGGTGTGCACCACCACTGCCTGTCTTTGTTCAAGATATTGTACTTATACAGCTCATTTAACAATGTAATGCAAATTTCTAGTCCTTGAAAATTATTATAAACTATTTAGGATAATAAAGAAATGCGGGTTAGTAGTTAGTCACCTATTACAATCAAACTTGTAATCATATTAGGTATGTTTTCAAGGTCAAACAGAGATATATTTTAGATAGACATGTTATCTTCAAACACTTCAGAGATCTACAGAATATGGCATTTAAGATGTTTTAATAACATGCAGTTTTTTTTTTTTCTTATGACAATGAGACCCGTCTGCTCCTACCAGCACCAATCTACTTCAGAGAAGATGATGGGCATCGAAGAAACTCCACATGGAGTTTTCTGTCTTTGTAATAAAAGTAAGCCACTGGGAAAGAAAGTGCTCTTGCCTCTGTTAGACCCCTGAAAACTCAAGTATCCGGGGTCCCAGGCCACGTTCTTGGTCACCCCAATCACCAGGCAGATTCGAGAGCTTGCTGCAAACTGCACGAGGCTTTATTGCAGTTTAACGAGCTAACCCCATGTTAGCTCGGGTCTTTGACCCACCCACCATGGCGGATGGCTAGCAAAGACAGTTTGAAGCCGCTGCGCACAGATCTTTATAGGGCAGCGTAAGGGGAGTGTCTAGGGGTACGCACAGGCTCAGGATTGGTGTGCCTCCCAGGGTTGGAGGGCTTGCCCTGTGTTGATTGGTCAACTGGTTGTTATGACCCATAGGCCCTCCCAGGGTGGTTGCTATGCTCTCTACGTCATTGCTGTGCACTTGTCCATAAAGCACACCCAGGGTCGTAAAGCATAGCGCCACCAGCTAACTTCTGATTGGCTCCTTGTCACGAGACAGGCATCTGACTTTTTAGTGTCTGGGACAAGGTCATAGAAGCACGTGTTCGGCCATTATGGCTGCCAAAAGGGAAGCTGGTTCCTTCACCTCCACTGCTGACAATATGCTATCCAAACTGGACAAGCAGGGCACAAAAAAGAGTGACTGCTTTTCCAAGACAAGGCGGGGCAGTCCTTTAAAAATCCTGCTTCGTATAAGAGTAAGTTGAATACTCTAGGCCTGTAGGCTGAAGATGGACGCCCCAATGTTGCAGAGGAACATTGGGTGACTGCCAGCATCCTGCTGTTTCTGTCATTCTTCACATTTTTGGAAGTTGATTGCTTGTACTTCCTGCTTACTCGATTAATATTATTTCCTTCTCGAGTCTCTGAGGGAGTTGAAGACTAGATAGTTATAGTTTTCCTTGTTTACAAGGTTAGAAAAGAAATGCACCATACAGATGTAAAGTGTATAAGTGTAAAGTGTATAAGATAATTTTGATAATACAAATTAGAATAGAAAGTGAATTAGGTACAATCTTTTAGACACATCAAGTTAGGATAGATAATGGAGTATTTTCTCTGAATTTGTCAAATGCAAATGGACTAGCCATTGTTGATGTGCTTATTGCCTTATATATTGTATGTAGTTATTGTACTTACAGTTTTTCTTATAGTAGTTATAACCTATTTGTTTTAGACAAAAAAGGGGAAATGTAATAATATTTTGTTTGTGATCTAACAAATAAAGCTTGTCTGAAGATCAGAGTGCAGAGCTAGCCATACTAGTTAACCATAGACGCCAGGCAGTGGTGGCACAAATCTTAAATCTAGCACTTGCAAGGCAGAGACAGGTGGATCTCTGTGAGTACAAGGCCACCCTGGGCTATTGAGATTGGTCCAGTCTAAAAGAGAAACAGAGTTACCATCTTTGATCCAGCACTTGGGATCATAAACCTTTAATCCCAGCATCAGGGAGAGGAGCTCATTGCATTTAATCCTAGGATTTGTAGGGACAGGATTGTGCCTTTGGTCTGAGGATTCGGTAGAGATAAGAGGTCTCTCTTGTGGTTGGCTCCTTTACTTCTCTGACCTTCCAGGATTTACCCCAATATCTGACTCTGGGGTTTCATTATTAAAACTCATGCTACTGCCAAGGCTACAAAGTGAGACCCTGTCTCAAAAACAAAACAAAAGCAAGAAACAGAAACAAAATAAATAAAAACGCAATGGCATTAAAGATGCTTGGATTGAAGGGAAATTGAAGGTTATGGTGACACTAGGCTAGTGCCTGTTGTGTATTTATGGACACCCATTTGTTTGTTTATGGTGCAATGATTGAACCCAGGGACTCAAGCATGTTAGGAAAATGCTCTGTCACTGAGCCCTAAACATTCAATTTTGACCAAGCTTTACTAGACTTACTAGACTGAACATCCAGTGGCTTCAGCAAGGTCCTTCCAGGAAATCAGCGAGGACAAGGCAAATTTTGATGAGTCAGTAGTAAGAGGGGAACAATGTGGGAGCAGTGAACAGAGAAAGCCCCCCAAGGACTACTCAGTTCACAAATTGGAAGATTCTGGAAAGAAGCCTGGGGTGTTCTGTGGAAAGGAGCAAAGTGACATGGCACACTTTTTGTTTCCTCTCAGGACTACCCCTACAAGGAGAACACACAAACTGGCATAAAGGAAGGAGGGCATCATCAGCGTCATGCAAAGTGGGCTGACAAGTGTGAGCAGTCAGAGAAGGCTGCATCTTAGCGTAGTTTCTCAGCAAATGGTGCCTTGCAAAATACTGCAACAACACATGTTTGAAATATAAGCCACGTTCCCCAGAAGGCACGACCAGTTTCTGTAAAGACTGGTCACAATGAATAGCCTTCTCACTGCCCCAGCAAACTTGGGTTTCATTGGAATTGAGTTACACCCCTGCTGCTCTGAACACACAATACTCCTCAGCTGGAAGCCAAGGCACCACCCCTGTGGTGGACAGCTCTGCACCATAATAGGGTAGCTGTCAGAACCACTAGGCGTCAATTCTGACTCCACTTTCCTTGTTGTTGGAAAATACTTCAGTGGCTTTTAAAACTAAATACCCAAGTGTTTATGCCTGAAGGCCGAACACGGCTTGGAATTCTCCAGGTAATGAGGTTCCCCACACATGCAGCACTGGTAGTCTCTGAACCCTGCACATATAGGTTATAATTTTTTTAAGGTTATAATTCTTAAACTAAAAGAGGAAAAAAACAGAGAATAATCCATAGGGGGAAAAATTCTCCAAGCCTCCAAAGTTGTAGGTATACGACTAGTTAGGGCCACTTCTTACATGCTTTCTATATGCCAGGTCCTGTATGATATGTAATTAATTCATTTATCCTTACAAAAGAGTGGGGAAGACCAGTTTCCTCATTTTATAACCAAGGAAATGCAATCAAGCAAACTCGTCCAAGATCACACAATTCAAACAGGACCCAGAATTGGGGAAACGATATTTATAAGCCATCTTTGTGACCACTCCCCACCTAACACACACCAGAACCAATACACTCTCCAAAAGGACAAGTTGCGTGTGATGTTTCCAGTCTTGTGGATTAACTGCCCAGGTTTTGTTTATTTTTTTGTTTCTTGTTTCTTTGTTTGTTTTTGGTTGTTTGAGACAGTGTCTCCCTATGTACACTTTGGTTGTTCTGTAATTCACTATGTAGACCACGTTGACCTTGAACTCACAGAGATCGGTCTGCCTCTGCCTCTGCCTCCTG